TCTTTCCCTCTTGAATTAATATTTTACTTAAACTGAATAAGTATGCTATCTTAATGAGATGATTTCATGGGAGATTATTCTTACGGTTTTCTCCTGAATTATTCAGAGGCATTTCACTTTAGATTATATAATCCTGTATGACTTCCTATATAACTTGGCATCATAAGAGGACAGTATGCTGCTATGTATTTCATGAGTGCTTTACACGGGCATGTTTTTATATATATATGGTATATAAAAATTGGCTATGAAAAATATTTTTTTTTTTTAATTAGGTGCTATTTCAAGTGGTTTTAGGCTGGAAGAGTCTCCATTTGTTCCATATGACTTTATGAACAGCAGTAATTCACCAGCCAGTCCTCCTGGATCTATTGGGGATGGCTGGCCCCGTGCCAAATCGCCTAATGGCTCTAGCAGTGTTAACTGGCCACCAGGTAGGCAATGCCAGTGCTTACTCTTTGTGTGGCTCTTACTGTTCAGCCCTGTTTCTTCTGTGTTCCTTGGTCATTACTTGTGGAGGGGGAGGGGAGACAGCCTGCAGAAAAGCATTAAGGGTGTGTTTTTAGCGGATCAAAATTGAGAGCAGTAGTTTCATTGTACAAAGAGAAGTATATCTCCCTGCTCTGAGATTTTACCCTGGTGAGATGGAACCAGAAAAACTAGAAATGAAGTGAATAAAGTGAAAAGAAGACTAAATTAAGTCAATTAAATGCTTAAAAGGTTTTGGATTTTCAGTCATTGAGATGTATTGTTTAGACAGCTGTTTCCTGTTTTAAAAAAAAAAATCAAACCCACCAACACCCCCCCCCCAATAAGCTTCTTTTCTGAATCTCTATTCCTAGAGTTTCGTCCTGGTGAGCCATGGAAAGGTTATCCAAACATCGACCCTGAAACTGACCCTTACGTCACTCCTGGCAGTGTCATAAACAATCTTTCAATTAATACTGTGCGGGAAGTTGACCACCTCAGGGACAGGAACAGTGGTATGTTCAGATGCTACGTTTTCTAACTGTGTACTAATCTTCCTTCAGTCACAGAGAGAGACTGTTTACTTGGAGATGTTTGCTACTTGCTCATCTCCTTGTTTATCTCTTGTATTGTGGATTTCATGGCTGAAAAGCTCATCTTTGGCTCAAGCACTGCTACTTGATGCAACGCAACAGATATTCCAAGAATGTGGGCAGAGTGAGCAAACGCTCCTGATCTGCATTCTGATGTAATTCTGTGCACAGAGAGGCAGTGTGTTTGAAAGTAGGCAAGCACAACTTGGCAGTCTAGCCATTGCAGTAATGTAACTAGCTTTTGCTTGCAGTGAGTGCAGGGTGCTTCCTGCTGTTGAGCATGCTTGCCACCACGTGCCTTTGGATCAAGGATGAGGACTGAGAAGAGTGGAGGAGGTCCCTCGTCTGACTGTGCAGATGTGTTCAGTCTGGGCTACAAGTCATGCCTTTTAATTTTACTGCATTTGTGATGCACTGTGCCGTGACTGACTTCTGTCTTTATAGGGTCATCCTCATCTTTGAACACCACGCTGCCTTCAACTAGTGCCTGGTCATCCATTCGTGCCTCCAACTACAATGTTTCCCTCAGCAGTACAGCACAAAGCACTTCAGGTGATGTCTGCTTATATCGCTCTGAGCTGGTGTTTCTTCCCCTTCACGTGCTTCAGGGGGATACTAAATGTTAATAAAACATTTATTATTAGTTAATAAACTGAGGTCTCCTCTGAGCGGTAACTTCACTAATTTTCAAAGTAGCTATTTTGATTTTACTCTGATTTAGCAGCTTTTATTTGTAGCAAGGTGATGGTTCCGGCAGCATAGTGATTATGGTTGTCTTTGTATGTCTTTCAGTAGCCAGAAACAGTGATTCCAAATCAACATGGTCTCCTGGATCAGTCACTAACACCTCTCTGGCTCATGAGCTGTGGAAGGTCCCTTTGCCACCTAAAAGCATCACTGCTCCGTCCCGCCCACCTCCAGGGCTAACAGGCCAGAAACCACCGTTGTCCACTTGGGATAATTCCCTTCGTTTGGGTGGAGGATGGGGAAATTCTGATGCCAGATATACCCCTGGTAAGGATGTCTTTTTGTGTATGAAGGCTTTTTGTTTTGCTGTCAAGCTAGGGAGTCTCCTGTGCATTTGATTAGATCATCTGTCACTGTTAGCTAACATCTGTACCATTTGTCTTGCCAAAAGCAAAAGCTGGTCTATATATCCTAAACTGCATTGCGGCAGACTTTCTACTGAATAAAACTGGGGGGGGAGGGCTAGGTATTGCATGCAGCGGTAACATGGATGGCACTAAGGTTTTTTCTGTCCTTAGTATGAACCATGTCTCCAAGCGCTTTCTGAGTTTGACATCTGTGCAGCTGAATGAGGTTGCCTATTAATAAGTGTTTTTCAGAGTGGCTCATGCCGTAATGAATTAGATCATGATAGTACAGGGAGTCTTCAGACAGGCTTCAAAACTATTCTGAGCTTGCAGCAAGAGTCAAAA